AAAAGCATTGACACAGAATACAGTTAGACTTTTCACTTAATTGTTGAAATTCCTAATGATTATGATTTTGCTGGAGTAATAATATAAAGCATATGTTGTGTCAGAATATGCTATAAGTGGAGTTGTCCAGGTTGTGAAGAATCGGGTTTCTTATGGTTGAGGTTTGTGATGTGGAACAAACTGAAATAAATGCAGTAAGACTGAAGGAATATTATATCAGAAATGAAGATCTTTAAAAAGGTAACAGTTTATTTAATATGAACTGTTGTCTTTTGTCTAGCAGAGCATTTGAATCATACAAGCTTGTGTATGGTATGAGACTTTAGGAGTATATAAGCCTTCTGGAANACTGTATTCATTATGTTTCGAGTAATGAATCTCAGTTTGGTTTCGGGATAGAGGGTTACTGTTTTGCTGTTAAATATTGTTAAACAAGCACTTCAGCAGCTTGTTACAGCGGATATTTTAGTAATTTGTACCTCAGATATGGACATTACCTTTGTGAGGCTGGCCATGTCAGTTTTGTAACAAAGGAAAAATTGGACTGTTAAGAAAGTCATATCACATTATTAAATGATGTCGGTCACATAAAGTATAAGGTATGCATCATTTTAACAAGTCTTTCCTGCCAGGTATTGTGGATGTGATAAACAAAATATCATTACATAGAGCTGAACCATGTAGTTGGACCAAAATCATGGGCAGATATGTTCAAATCGCATCAAACTTGGAATGAAGTAGTGTGCTATAGGTGTACAGGATGTTTTTTTTTATTGAACTTGACACCTTCACGGCTCTGCACTTTACCTCAACTGACATGCCATCTGCCACAATGTGCACTCAGATTTTGCCAGTGACTCAGCATGCTGATAACATTTGGAATGAAGGGGAGTTCTTACCTTTGTTCACAGATCACAGGAGGTGCTGAAAATGCTGTCCATCTGTACGTAGATATTCCTTGCACCTGTGGAAGAAGTTTTTGATTTACCTTCTGATGATGCTCTGCAGGAGTATTTGAAATTTCCCTACAAAAGTTTTCTTTCAGTTCTTCCATTCAAGGGTTATTGGTGTAAACATTGTCCTTCAAACAACCCAAGAAGAAAAAATCAGAAGGGTTAAGATCAGGTGAATGTGCTGGCAAGATATCAGTGCTGATAATTCTGTCCCTGAAGACATAGAACAAAGCCTGTATAGATATCTGTGCAGTGTGCGCAGTACTGAGTCTTGCTGAAGCTATCCATAGAGTCTTTGCTTCTCTGTTAACTCTGGAAAGCCTGCATAGATATATGTGCAGCGTGGGCAGTAGCTGAAACCAGCCATAGAGTCTTTGCTTCTTCTGTTAACTCTGAAAAGCCTGCATAGATACGTAGGTCATACCCAAAGTCATGAGCAGCTTTTTTTTGCATGCAACTAGGGAACAACAGACGAAAGAGACTATGGCGATAGGTGGAACCAGCTGTTGTGTTAACCTTGAGTGTCTTGTGACATCAATAGCTTGCATGACGTGACCAGTATCACTCCTAACAAAATGGCCGACAACCATATGTCGTTTCCCCAGCATGCTATCATTGAATTTCTTGTGAAAGAGGAAATCCCTGCTGCAGAAATTCACCAGAGACTTCAGCGTGCGTATGGAAGTGTGCATGGGTGCGAGCAGTGTTCGAAGATGGGTGAAACATTTTAAAGATGGGAACACCAGCATCGAAGATGAACCTCGGAGCGGTCGTCCTCGAACAGCCCCAACTGAACGCAACAAGGAAAGAGTGGAGGAGATCATTCAAGATGACAGGCATGTGACTGTGGACACAATAGCCCGAAAACTTGGAATAGGGCACAGTGCAATACAGAAGATGATTGAAAGCTTGGGCTATAGGAAAGTTTGTGCTCGTTGGGTCCTGTGGTTATTGACCGAAGACCACAAAGATCAGCGAAAAGCCATCACCTCAGAACTGCTGCAGAGATATCGACACAAAGGCGATGATTTTTTGCTCTGTATTGTAACAGGTGACGAAAGCTGGTTTCACCATTTTGAGCCTGAAACGAAACAGCAGAGTATGGAATGGCACCATTTGCATTCTCCATCAAAAAAAGAAGGCAAAGACAGTGCCATCATCTGGGAAGGTGATGGACACAGTCTTCTGGGATGCAGAGGGTTTTATTCTGGCCAAATTCCTGGAACCTGGGCAAACCATCAACGCTGCTCGTTATGTCCAGATGCTACACAAGCTCCGTTGTGCATTGCGCGATAAACGTTCGGGATGAAACATCATCATCCTGCATGACAATGCTCACCCCCATGCCGCTCGCCTCACATTGGCAGCAATTGCAAAGATGGGGTGGGAAGTTCTTCCACACCTCTCCTATAGCCCTGATCTGGAACCCTCCAACTACCATCTTTTCGGGTTTATGAAGGATCAGCTGCGTGAACAACGTTTTGAGACAAGGGAGGCAATTCAGAAAGCAGTGCATCAGTGTCTTTGGATGGCTTGAACGGAATTTTCAAACTCCCAGAACGCTGGGAGAAATGTGTACAGAGAAGTAGTGATTATGTGGAAAAATAAAGAAAGGCCTGTAGATTGAGGTGGTGTATTTGGTTTGTCAATAATAAAGCATGATACTTTACAAAAATTGTTGCTCGTGACTTTCAGTACGACCCTCATATATGTGCAGTGTGGGCAGTAGCTGAGTCTTGCTGAAACCATCTGTAGAGTCTTTCTTCTGTTAACTCTGGAAAGAACTGCCCAAATATAACCCATACATATCTCTCATATTTAATTGTTTTGTTGAGAAACACAGACCCAACAATCCTTCTTACACTTAAAGCACACCAGACACCAAGTTAATTATTTTCCTTCATTCCAAACATTATCAGCCATCAAGCATGCTGAGTCATTGACCGAACTTGCATGTGCTTTGCGACCATCAATACGCTGGTAGCAGTGAAGCGCAGAGCCATGAAAGCATCCAGTTACTAAGAATATTCTCTGTGCATGTAAATTCAATATATTCAGCATGTCCAATCACTGCTGTACCTCCTACCATAGATGAGAATCAAAAGTTTTTTTCTGGTGAATGTAAATGCTCTTTACTACAGCACTTTGAAACTTGAAATTCTTTTCAAGGTGTTAATAAATATTGCATTGGTACTTGGATGGGTGATGTTGAAGAGAATATGTTACTGCCCCTTTTTCATGTGGTTGGAATTTGAAAATCATTGGTATGGTTCTTTTTTATATTTCTCAGAATTAATGTGTTCAGGTTTAGATGCTGGCATATGTGATTCATTAAATTCACTATTTAAGTGCATTTACTACTGCTTGATTAGGGACCATAGAATGAGACACTGGACCTACCATAGGTTGATACCATAGTTGATTATAGGTGATAAGAGTGCAAACTTCTGCCCTGGTAGTGATTCCAGTGAGATTGGCCACAAGTCAGCTACATAAACATTCCTTCTTTTGTGAATAGGTGGAGTAGTTGTACACGTATGTTGGTGCTGCAGAAGATTGCTAATGAGAATGTTTTCAGACTGAAGTTTACATGCCATTATTTTGTTTACAGGTGGTTTCTCTATGGATGCTAGTTTTGGAGACATGGATGAGCGATTTCCAATTTTTTATAAGCATAGAAATCATACTGCAACCTCATTGCCTTGGCCACCTCAGTCCTCCATGCGAGGAGAATTTCAACCTGGACCTTTGCAGTGGAATGATGTTGGTCATCCTGACATACGATGTGATCACTGGGAACTTGGACCTGATAATCCCTGGATACACAGTGCACATGAGAGAACCTCAGCACGCTTAACTCAAGATCGCTTGGGCAGTCATATCCCCACACATCATCCAGGCCCAAGCCAAGGATATGGTTACCCCTTGTATGAAATACTGCAACCAGAATTTCAACCAATGAACTGTTTTGGTGGAATTAACCAGCAGAGGCCTCTGCACTTTCAGGGCTATGCAGGGTTTGAAGGTGATATAGAGAGGTGAGTTAACTTTCAGTGCAAAAGATTGATGACACATGTTTCTCCAAATTATTAGCAACCTGAATGTCAGTAAGACTGTAGAGTGTCACTATCCAGAAGACCACGTTCCACACCCTCATAACCATAGAAACCTCCTGTCTGATATGTATGGTTCACCAGTATAAATTGTAGGTATATTGCTGAGAGAGTGAACTGTTATATGATCTGCTTGATCTGAGAACATTAAGAGTGATAGCTTAGTGCATGCCAGCTACTTAAACTAAGTAAATATTGCAAAGTATAATAGTTATTTAGCTGGTCAAGAAATTCTCTACCTTTTATGGAACCCTAAGGCTTATTACCATGTTCATTGATCCTTCTCATGAGCCAGAGCCAGATGAATCCAGTTTACATCCTGATACTCTGCTTCCATTTTAATATTATCTTCCTAGTCATGCTTTGGACTCCCACATGTCCTCTTTTCTACATTCTCTGACAAGAATAATATATTCATAGTGATAGGCTATGTGGTGGGCAGCAAGGATTTGATTCACAGTAGGAGCAAAATATTTTTCTTTACTGTGCAGCATCCAGACTGGCTCGGGGGCTCAGACAGCCTCTTAATCCAACGGGTACCAGGGGCTTTTTCCCAAGGGTAAGGCAGTTTGGGCATGAAACCAACCTCCATCTAATGCTAAGGTAATGGTGGAACCAAGCCTCCACCCCCCACATACGTCTTCATGGCATGGTGCCTCCACCCCCCTGCATACTTCTTCATGGCATGGTGTTTAATTAAGCACATGGACAAATTGATTTTTGTCCATAATGGTGAGTTAACAGTCAGAAATTGTTTGAAGACCCAGTAGTAATATTTATTGTTACTTAAGAAATGTAAAAGTCCTTCATTTGAAAATGTGTTCATGATTTAATTACTTTTACCCTATAACAAACATTGAATGTAGTGTGCATGAAATGAGTGAGAGAATATTTCAAATTGTGATTAGAATGTAAATATTTAAATTTGCTTCTTTAATACAATTAGTTTTCCTTAATATTTTTACTAACCAGAGATATTTTCATGAATATTTTTTCATTTTTAGGTTTGAGTCACTTTCTAGTAGCTGTTCAGATAATAGATTTCAGGGGCCTGCTCCATCTCGGTGGCAGCAACAACAGGTACACCAGCAGCAAGCACATGGAAGTGATGAACTGCCACCAGCGGATCCCGTGATTCTTGACCTCATAGCACAGGATACAGTGAAGACTGTTAGATTACCTGATGTACACAAGGAAGTACGTTTCTATGGTGACACAGCTGTAGTGATGCTAGCATCGGATGATCCAAGAGAAATTTGTTTCCAGGATGGTGTCCGGAAGGTCACATTTGATGACAGAGAGTTTGTGCTGTGTTCTTTGAATGACTCATATAAAGAGTGTATTATCTATGGAAGTACACACAGGTTAGTAATTAACATATTGTGGTGTGTTATATGTCGTACATTGCAGAGCAATGAAACAATGGAAATTCTTGAGACCGTTGCATCAGAATATCTGTAGCAAAGAGTGTTCGTTGCATAACAATGCTTGGTAAACACCCCTCCCCACCAGGCTATGACGTCATGCAACAGTAGGGCATCTATTGGTAGGCAATGCATAGGTAGACACACCTGACAACAATACCTGATATCTGTTGCCGAGCAGCAATGTGCTCTCTGTGTGGTCCATGCTGAGCCTATATAAGGAACAGGAACACTGTTCAGCGAGTATTGAGATACTAGTATTGAGTAGTTAGCAGTTATGAGCAGTTTCGAATATTCAGTAAGAAATGAAGTCTTGAGACAGTCACCATTTAAGAGAGTGGGAACCCAGCATTCACCGAAAGATAGTTGAACAGCAATTGAAATACTGGATTGTATAAGACTGTGAATTGTATAAGTGTAAAAGTGAAGGAGATTAAATATTCGCTACATCCTTGACCTTTGTGAGATTATTTGTCACGTGACACACCCAGCACATGACAATATTTATTGTTACTCTTATTAAGATCTGTGATGCTACATGTATTGTTTTCTGTGATATTTGTATGTGGTATGAAATTTTAGTATTGTATAATGAAGGTACTGAAAATATTTATACTCTTCTTAATATGAGAAAATTTAGCAGTCAGAAACTGAAAAGTTAGGGAAGGCACTATTGAGAAGTGTTACGCTCCTGCGACAAGGGTGGATTGGTTGTCTCACCACTGTCACCACTGTTACGCTCCTGCGACAGGGATGGATTGGTTGTCTCACCGCTGTCATCAATTTGTTACGCCGTGGTGACAGGGGGCGTGGAGGTGTTCCGCTCTGTCACCAGGTTTAGTATGCTGCCACCATCTTGTTATGTCAAGAAAACTCCAGTAAACTTATCGATCGCTTACGTCACTGGTCCTGGCTTTAACTCACAATTCGCTGAAGCTTCAGGAGGTGCTGGAGTCATCAGGGAAGAGGGTAACACTTGAGGGGAGGCTAAGTTCAATTAATATCACAGCGCATTTCTATCCTACTCTATTCACCTCTATTTCTTCATAACACATGCATACAACTGCTTCCTTAATTGACCACCGTTTCTTGTAGTATTGGTAATCTCTCTTTGTCTGCATTGGCCTGATTTGAATTTTATCCCTTGTTTCTTTTGTCATATTCTGTAAAGATTCAGTGTAAAATGAAAATGTTTTTGGAAAGCTACAGCCTTTCAATCTTTATTGGCAATGCATTACATGGGTGTGTGGTCCACTTAGTGAAGCATCATATTTTTTCAGTAGTAATACCATTCCCCTTCAAGAGTATGGCCACAAAAATGGTAGAAGCATGTGAAAATAAACTGTTATCCCTGAACTGAAATATGGCCACAACCTCTGTTGTACTGGGAGATTAAAAAACCCTGTTTCTGGGTGATGAGGATTAACCATAATTTGAAACCATGTCGTCACTCTGTGTGCAAAAGATTTTTCTCCCCCCCNTATATATATATATATATATTTGGTTCATTGTTACTTAAATATTTGTTTTTGTATTTTTATCCACAGGATACGACTTGGTGCACCAACCCGTGAACTCTATGTTGATGGCAAGTGGTATGGATGTTCCTTTGGTGGTCCTCCAGTTACAGTTGAAATTGGTGGGAAGAAGCATATTGTCAAGTTGGAGGGTCCACCTCCTGAAGTTAAAATTGGCTTGAAGCGGACAGATCTGGTGGCTGGCAAGATATATTTAATCATTGACAACAGCAAAGTGGTACCTGTGTTCTTAGATGCCAAGCCACAAAGGTGAATATTTAATGTTACATATTTAAAATATATAAATAGACATTAATTTAAAGTTATGTATAGAGGGGTATGTTATTAGCGAGTCAGCCCTTCTAAATGAACACATCAAATTAGAAATTTGTTTCCAATAAACATTACCAAAATAAAACGTGTTGTCACCATCTTAGTGTATCTGATTAATGAAATATATTACATATACAGTAAAACCTGTCTTAAACGGAATCTCAAGGGACCAGAAAAAATTTCTGCTGAAGCCAGGTTTCCGTTTAATCAAGGTATACTATAATAACTAAACCAGGACATAAACGTATTTGAGACAAAACAAAACAACATGCTAATTAATTTATTCACACTATAATCATTGAACACATGCAAACATTACACTGAACAAGAAAAAATTGCAGTACTCACTTTTATAATTTTGCCAGAATTCCAGCAGCGTTTTTTGCATGCAGTTTACTCTCTTGGCTGCCTGGCTTTCCACAAACACTTTAGCTTGAGAAATTAGAGTAAGCATGTCTGAATCATTCCGTTGCATGGCAAACTCCTGCAGTACCTTTAAACTGTTGGCAGCATCCTGATAAGTCTTCACTCTACACTTTTCTTCTTCTATCACAATGTCATTTTCCTCTTCTTCCTCTTCCTCCTCCTCCTCTCTTCCTTTTCGATTTTCCCTAAAATTCTCAACTAATGCATTGATATCCATTGTGTCTGGTTCTGTTTGCACATCTTTGTCTATGTTGATGTAGTCCTCAGCACTGCAGTTACTGAAAGCAGCTTCATTCATGCAATGTTGTAAGTCCTTCTGGTCATTCTCATTTTCTACACTAGGAGTAACTTCTACCATAGGAAATCCTACTTTTTCGAAACACTTGGTCACAGTTTCTGGTAACAACTTCTTTACTGCTTGACTTATCCAAATAACCGCATCTAGAACTGAGACAGTTCTTGCAAGTTCAGAGGCGGATGATGTAGAACCTTTATTGACGAGCAAAGATTGCATTAATAATTTACGATAGTGGACCTTAACATTCCGAATGATGCCCTGATCCATTGGTTGAGAAACACTAGTGGTGTTTGGAAGGAACCAAGCAAGTCACACGTTGGAAAGTTCGATATGGGGGTGGCATGTTGCATTATCCAAGAACAACAAAACATGCCAGTTTTGCATTTTCATTCTACCATTGAAGGCTGTTAACCATTCCTCCATGATCTGTGATGTCATCCATGCCTTTTTGTTTTTCCATTAGCACAAGTTTCCCACCGCTTCAAAATTTCTGTTTTCTTCTTTAGAATCTCGTACACTTGAGTTTTACTGACGTTAAACATCTTCATGATCTGCTTAACAGACAATTTATCTCGCTCACTCGCATGAATCACTTTTAATCTTGTGTTAAGATCAAGAATAACTCTTATCTTTGTAGCCATGATGACAACTGCTAGACTAAAGTAAAACTGTAGGCCTAGAGCCCTTACTGAGTACCATTTCCGAAAGGAGAAAACAATTCTGCTGAATCTCAGTGCAGGTAGTGCAGTACGATTAGAAGCTTATTTTAAAGAGTTAAAGGAAACAAAATTCTGTAGAATGTATAGGATGCCTAAAATTATTCTAAACGATGCATTCCAGAAGACTGGAAATTTTCCGTATAAAGGCTTATTTTGATTTCCATTGTCCATGTTAGACAATTTCCGTTTAATCCAGGCTATTTAACATCTTTTTCAGCCCCAAAGTCAAGGGACCTGAAAATATTTCCATTTAAGACAGAATTCCGTTTAATAAAGGGTCTGTTTAATGCAGTTTTTACTGTATTTATATGATGATTTCACATCTTGTTTTAGTGTATACAGCATATCTATGAAATGAACTGTATCAAAAGACATTACAGAGATTACTTGTCATCACAATTTCCATACATTTAACGTAATAAATAAATGTAGAGTTTCATACAGTATTTTGTTACATTACATTACATTACATTACCTTGCATTGAATTGCATTCCATGGATCCAGAGTTAGTCAAAATGACTGTAGGATGTGGAATATGTCATATAAATACAAAACATACAGGGTGGTTCAAATATGACCGGGACTGATTTTTGTGTAAACAAGCCACACTTCGCAGCAGCTGTACGACCTTGAGAGTGTGAAGTCACAACCTCCACCCTCCCTCCTGTTCGGGTTAGAACATGTTCAGTCCTATCTGGGAGTTGATTGAGTGATGAGTGAACAGAAGGTACCACGGAGCATGGAACATCACATTGTGATCAAATTTCTTGGAGGAAATGTCCCGTCCTCTGAAATTCACCACAGACTCCAACAGCAGTATGGGGAAGAGCGTCTCTCACGGACCCATGTGTTTGAGTGGTGTAAGTGCTTCGTAGAGGGCAGAGAGCGCGTGGAGAATGAACCGCATGATTGTCGGCTGCGAACATCCGTCACCAAGCCAAACATTGATCGTACAAACACACTTATTCGTGAGAATAGGCTCATCACTATCAAGGAACTTGGAGCAATGCTGTCCATCAGTGTTGGTAGCATAGAAGATATCGTGAAATATCACCTGCACTATTGCAAGGTGAATGCACAGTGGGTACCATGCAATTTGACGGACGTGAACAAAATGGTGTGCATGCAAGCTGCCAGTCATCTACAGCAGTTTGAAGACGAAGGTGATGCATTTTTGAAGTCTGCAGTGACCATGGATGAAACGTGGGTGCACTACTTCATTCCCGAGTCCCAGCAGTCTTCACACGAGTGGCAGCATACCAGTTCTCCCAAACCCAACAGAGCGTGGAGGAGCCGTTTGGCAGGAAAAGTGATGGCAACGTTCTTCTGGGACTGGTTGGGGGTTATCGATGTAGACTTTCTGACAGATGCCAGAACAGTCAATGCAGCTTATTACTCAGACCTCCTGGCAACAGACATGAAGGAAAAGTTCCAATCCAAGTGGAAGACAGGCGGAAAGCAGGTAGCCTTCCTTCAAGACAATGTACGCCCC